GCAGTAACGCTACTGGTGGACATAAACTTATACTTGTTGTCACTGGAAAGTAAAAAAAAAACCGAGATCTTTCATAGGCACAAGGATAGAAAATTTGCCCTTTAATTACTTTAACAAAAAAAAAAAAAAAAAAAAAAAAAAAAAAAAAAAAAAAAAAAAGATTATGAACCGAAACATTTTTCAAGAATAGTTCGAAAAAATCTTTGTTCTTCAAGTGCGTAAACATCTTACATACATCGAAAAAACCTGCCTGAGAAAGCTGTGCTATTGATCGACAACGCACCTCCTCACACAGCAACAAGCGTGATAAAGTCTTCTGATGGACAAATTTTTTCAAAGTTTCTCCCCCTAAACATTACTGCTCTAATCCAACCCATGGACCAAGGAGTCATTGCAATAACATACCGAACTAAGCTGCTAATGACCAAAATTGAAGAAGGTTATGATCTGAAAGAGTTTTGGAAACAGTACATAATATTGGACAGCATCTACGATATTGCATCTGCATGGGACTCAGTGAAAGTCAACCCTCATAAAATCATGGAGAAAACTCATACCTAATGTTGAAGCCAGCAACAACCTAACCCCTTTGAGTTGTGAGGAAGAGAATGAAGATGTAGACACGCCTACGCCAACTCTTGCCGATATGGTGAAAACAGTTCCGGGTGGTGAGAACGTCGATGCTGAAAACATTAACGAGTGGTTGGAATGTGACGTCAACGAACCTGGCTTCGAACGTTTGACAGATGACGAAACTGTGAAGAAAGCAAGGGGAGAGACCGAGAATGAAGGAGAGCGAAGTGAAGGCGAAGAAGAGCCCACTGTGCAGATGCGGAAGACTCACGAAGCGGCTTTGGAACAAGTCGACGGACTGCTGAGCTATTTGGGAGAACAAGACGACGCGGAGTTGGCCGAGAAACTTACGTTACGAAAAATGAAATCTCGGATCAAGAGAAAATGCTTCCAAAGCAAGAAGCAAACACAAATGACTGATTTCTTCAAAAAGGTGTAGTTTTACAGTTATGCTTTTGTAATTACATAATACATTACAGTATTAAAACAGTACATATGTATTAATTTTTCTGTGTATCCTTGACGCCTCTCGTAAGTGCAAAGTACTTTTCTGTTTTCCTTAACAAAATGCATTTTAGGTTAGTTTTAAGTGATAGACTAAAATATTAAGTTTTAGTTAAACATTTCTTGCTGTTTATTTCACGTTTTATTGTACATGAAACGATTTTTCAAAGTTGGAATGACTTTTTCTCTTTTCCTATACCCGTTTTTAGCTTTTTTCGGATTATCCGCGTTTTTTGTTATTCGCGGCGGCCGCGCCACCCAATTCCGCGGATAATCGGGAGTGTACTGTAACTGTGAAGTATTTAGCGCAAATAAAAATGGGATGGCATTTTTAACTAGGGTAAATTACAAAAGGTGTTTACATATGCAATACTTATAGATTCTGTGTTTAAAATATTAGCATTAGAGCATTAGTATAAGAGATGTATATTTGAGGAAACATTTATGTAAAAGCGATTACTTGTATGCTACAATGCATAAAAACATTAAATTAAAAACATTTTTTAATTAATGAATTAAATTAAATTAATTATTTTAAAAATTAAAAAGAAATGTTGATTTTTGGTCCAAAAGTTTGAATATGGTATGGGTATATTTTATTACATAAAAAATAAACTTCGTTTGGAGAAATTCCAATTACACAAACGTGCGCCTCCTCCTCAAATTTAGGTCTGGTCAATGCCCTGCTGATGGCACAATATTCATACTAATCCGTTCGAGAACAAAGATGTTGTTATCATACTTGATAACAAATTCCTTGATCACAAAATGTCGCCAAGTTCGGGGACGTTTGACGATTTCTCGCCAAATTTGGCTACAAAAATTAGTCGCCCAAATCTTTAACAGCTTTACTTAGCCATTTACCTTATTCGAGTTTTTAGTTCGAATATTGCCGGTGCGTTACATTAATCCAAACGCCATCACCTTGAACTGCCAAAGTCTTTGTCCGGTAGTAAAAGCCGTCTTTTCTCGGAGCCCACCAGCGGCCGAGCGGTAAAGACGCTGAACACTGGTAGTTCGGTCTGAGGTTCGAATCCCGCGAACGGGCTGGCTGCATGGGCGTTTTCGTGGTTTTCCCCATGTGTAACGTGTATACGAGCCAGTTTCCCTTAGAAAGTCCTCCACGAAAGGCATCCCTCCCTTTAGGCAGATAGCCCTCGTGTGCTTTGCCATAATTAAATACACCAAACACCAAACGTCTTTTCTCGGTCATCAGGATGCATCTCTATCTGCCAATATTCAATCTTTAAATCAAGCATCGAAAACCACTTGCTTCCAGAAAGAGTGTCCAAAATATAGTCAATTTTAAGGAAAGGGTAGCAATTTTTCTTCGTAATCTCGTTCAACCTGCGATAGTCAACGCAAAATCTAGTTGAAATATCTTTCCTTTTGACCAGGAAGATGGGAGAAGCTCAAGGGCTTATTGAAGACTCGATAACATTGCTTTTTTTCATGTCTTTTAAAAGTTTTCCTCCTTCTTCCTATTTAGCAATCGGTCGACGCCTTGGATATTACTTGATTGGTGGATGATCCCCTATATAAACTCTATGATGTACCAAACTGGTTCGACCTACATCAGAAGATGAGCAGGAGAAAACGTCTTGAAATTCTTGAATGTCACCTTTCGGCAGCACTCCTTTCTTCATCACATACGTATATATTCTGCAATAACTCCGATATTATGGTCGCCGAAGACATAGATACTGGCGGCGTACTGAATTGTTTAATACAGGTCACTGGAGTACATGCAGCAACCACTTCACCTTTCCGTTTTATCCGATTTTCACTTTAACTCTGACGTTGCCGGCTTTCACCTGGATAACTGCCCTCGATAAGCCGACAACTTCTCAGGCTACTAGTACTCCTTATAGGGTATTACATTTTTTGGGATATTTCATTACACCGTAACGGAAATTTTGGTTTTCGGCTATAGATCCAGGAAGTAAAAATTCGGTTCTCGTTGGTACTGTGATATTGTCTTGAGCTTTGATTTTATGGACAGATTTAATTCCTTCATCATTAATTCAGAATAGGGTTATGTTCTCAGAGGCAGAATACAGTTCGTTATTTTTAAAGTCCAAGGAAAAATTGTGTTTCCTTAGAAAGTATAATTCGAGTACGTAATGGTCTGCAATATCTGCCACACGTGCCGTGTGATGGTAAGCGGCACTTCCAAACGTATAATTAACGTTTAATTTTCCGTCGATGTCGAACTTTACCCTGGACACAGTCTGGAGGGTAACGCAGGGTGGCGTCCAGAGGAGTTTACCTTCAGGTTTTTGAGCGAAATTTTTTTTGGATGATGGTAACATTGGCTCATGTTTCGATGGTCATATTGCAAGGAACTCCCTTTATATGTCCCATAATGAAGAGACCATAACTGCAGCCACTCATTGCAGAAACCTGAAGTGTTTGAAACGGGGCTTCTCATTATCTTATAAATACCGCTCCGCGAGATGGCCACTAATTTGTTTCTTGTGTCCTTGCTGAGAAGCAGTCTTATTTTCCGTGCTCTGGGATCTTCTGCAGTTCCTTCGTACTTTGCCTTCAGCACCACGATTTCAGGGCTTTATGGAATGTTGTTGCCCCTCCTATCCCGTCTCAAGGCACTGACGCATCTGGTTAAATAGTCTAGACGAGTAGTCATTTAATCCACTGGCTGTTGAACTTCAAAAACTATGATTGTGTGGTAGTCTCTAACAGTTGCTTCCTGGGCTGTCTCGGGTTTTAGGGCATACATCAGAGAGCTCTTCAAATCCTTGATATACGTCAAAGGCAAAGCTTTCTGTATTTCAGAATCCCGGATGCCATCGATGAATTACTTCAGGGACAGGATTCGCCTTGTTTATTTCTGGCACTTCGAAAAAGCGAGATGAGAGAGCCTTTCAACGTCCATGGCGAACTCCTGGAGTAAAAGAAAAATATACTTTCAGAAATATAGTTGCAGTTAAAAAAAAGAATTTGCCAAGAAGTCGATTTTTTTATAAAATCGTCTAAAAAATGTGCGAACAGCCTCTGTAGAAGGAAAAGAAGAAATGTTTTCAGTGCAATATTTTCATACCGATAGCAAAGCAAGAACTATTTAGACAGACCCAATTATTTATAAAAACATTCACATTGTAAAGCAATTGTGAATATTAGTTATGAAGGTAACTTGTTTAAGTGCCATCTTGAAGAATTTTGGAACAATACACTGATTCGTATGTGAGCAAATATACGTTTTATTAATATTTCTAAACATTTCAACTTTCTGTTTTCTATGTTATAAATCTAATAAGATTCCATTTCAGCATATACAGTGTAATTATTTACATATAGCTTATTGTTTCTGAAAACATAATTTTTAGAAACATTTATTATTTTCATGTGCGAATTTCATTGACTTCTTAGTACTCTTTTTTATGAAAATTTTGCAGTTTTCATACTAATTTAATGATAATTTTCGTAGTTTTCATACCAATTAATAATGGCAATTTTTTATGAAAATTCAATTTCGTTTATATATAAGTTTAAAAATAAATTATTAAATCATAAAATAAATAAAAATAAAAATAAAATAAATTTAAAAAATAAAAATAAAAATTATAAAATCTTCATTACAAAAAGAATATATTTTTGACTTTTATTGACTGGCATGTTTCAAATTTCATAGATAATAGTTTCTTATATATTTACGACATTAAATGAAGAGTTAAAAGATAAGAATGGAAATTAAAACAATGTTTTGGTGAATTTTCAAGTTTTTTCGGCATGCTTATTAATGTGTCGAGGAGATTTTGTTTAATATTTTTATCATGAATTCATCATGCTCGACTCATAATATGATTGAAACTAGTATTCAAATGAACTTAAGATACATTTTTAAATATACATTTTTAATATACTTGCTATTATTATCTCTATGGCTAAATGAAAGATATGAACACATAAAAAGTAATTTTATTCTTTTCTTGATTGTAATAAGAAGATAAATGCACTCAATAAAGCGAAGAAAAATTAGTCCCTTTTTTTCTTATATCAGCTTTCTCTTTTATAAAGCTGATGATGGTATTAAATGCTATATGGTTACTCGTGTAACGACAATTAGCTATATATTTACAGTTTTTCTGCTGCGATGCAATAGAAACTGTTATGTTTGTAATAACTTTCAGGTTTATTTCCATAATGTACTTTGAACGTCATGTTTCCAAATCCTGCTAATTTTAAGGCGCACCAGATATCACTTATATTGAGATTAAGACAAGGAACCCATTTATTGCCAATTTTCCAGTTTCCTTCACATTCATATCCTCCTACGATTAATCCACCTTTTCTCTTGAGAAGTTTGTGGATTCTTTTCAGAGCTGTGACATAGCTATAAAAGTCTGGACACGAAGATTCCAGTGTCAATATTGTTATAATCAGATCGTAAGGTGGTTGAATTTCGACAACAGTTAACTCCTCCAGTTTCAGAATCGGATCTGAATGAATATCACATGGCACAACGCACTTCACGCACTTTCGTATTTGTGATTCTAACAACTTTCTTCCTTCTTCCAAATTACTGTAAGAAAAAGTAATATGATTTTAATAAAGTGTTTTAAATTCTCTAATAATTATTAATTGAAATTCTTTACATAAAAAACTAACTTATCGATTAGCTAGCAAAAGCAGAATTTTGATTGACATAAGATAGTCTAATGAGCGTGAAACAAACGTGAAAACTGGAAAAATTTTAACATATCGAGGGTAAAGCGTACGTTATAAAACTTAATTTGATATTAAATTCCAATTAAAATCAAAGAATTAATATTTAAAATTTAAATACAAATAAATTTATTTAGAATCTATTTTACAAGATCTTATATTTTTCCAAATTATTCCTCGTTTTTGGAATTAAAGTACTGCGTTACATATAAAGTAATTCCATAAATTAACATTAATTGAAGCACCAGGTAAGCTTATTCAAATAAAATAAATCAAATTTCCCGCTTTGAAAATTTGATAACTGATTTATTATCCAAGAAGCAATAATTTTTTTTAAACAGCCTTATACTCCAAAACGTAAAGCCGTTTGCAACGTATCACATATTCTCAAGCTGAAAAAGGACTAAATGAGCTGACAGTCACCGAGATCACTTGCGTTTACAGTCAAAGGAATCATTTAGTTAATTTTTAAGGAATGTTAAAAATCTTAGAATAAAAGAGAAATCAAACAAACCTGAAGATTTTCTTACCTCAGAAAAAACCTTGCAATAAATACGGTACCATTGCTGAGCACAGCAGAAGTTGAAAATGTCAAAATAAGGGGGAATTGATGAAACTGTGATACTTTTCCTTAGTTGAAATTATTCCTTGGCGATCGCACTAAAAATTCAAGTGAAAGCAAAACCTTTGGACAGCAGTACTGTGAGGAGCATTTCATTTGAGCACACAAGAAAAAATGATTGGTTTATTTATTTAATTACTGCAAAGCACTCAAGGGATATCTGCCTAAGGGGAGGAATGCTTCCGTGGAAGAGATTTTAAAAGCAACTGGATCGTATATACGTTACACTTTGAGAGAACCACAAAAACGTCCATGCAGCCACCCGTTCCCTGGGATTCGAGTACATATTGTAATAGTACCAATAACTGAAGATAAATGGTGCCCATTGGGATTGTCAAAAAAAAAAAAAAAATGGCGGAAAGGCGTTTAAACGTACTATGGAAGAAATTAGATAAAAGCAAAAAACCATGGCAAAAAACCATGGATGAATGTCTCTCTGTTAATCACACGGAAAGAATTAGAGATAATGAGTGTTCTAATATAAAATATTATACCCCCACCAGACCAGTTTTCATCCTGAATGTACATCAGCTCTCCTCCGCTTCGTTTGATTCGTCTTCTAAATCAAGTTATGGGATTTCTCTTAATTCTGTATTGCTGAATGGAGCCACGAAATTGAAGTTGTAGTTTGAAATAGAATGCAGTTACAAAGCATTGGTTTTAGAAAAATGTTGCAGCCCCTCCTCTTCGAAATTAAATTCTAGTTACAGTATTCTCACAAAACACTACAATCATTAGGAGGAGGTCGTCAGGATAGGGTTAATTCTAGTTTGAATATGAAGGCTAACGATATAATTTGAAGTCCAAGCAGCACAATAATCGTTAAAACGCTCTGATCAGTTTATGAAAACTGGATAAAGGAGGGAACTTACAATGATCTTATATAGCATAAATAATTTTTTAAATCTTGTGGATATCATAAAAATAAATAATTAGTGAAAAGCATTTTAAATTGAAGGGAAAAAATGTATAAGGCTAGCAAAAGAAATTCCTTTTCCATATCATTAATCATTTTGAAATTATTTAATATTCCTCCTTGGAATAACTAGTATAATACTTCATGCTTGTATAGCTGAGAACATGTGAAATAGATCTACCTTTTGCCATTATTTTTGTGCTTTTTGAAAATATATTATCCCCAAACACATGACAGACAAGCGATCAAGACCACAGGGTTGTTGCACTGGCAGCTGATCTGCGCATTGTTATAAAACAGCATCAGAAGTTGCTTGCGTGTGCTCTTTAACGATCTGTTGCAGATTTTTTACATATGTAAATAGTTTTAGCAAAATTCTATGTGAATTGTTGTACCCCTTGCATAATGCAACATTGAATGACCGCAGAAATGGGAAGATTCGCCGGAAAAAAAGGAATACAGGAATAAGTCAATTTAACATAAAGGTAAATGGCAATGCCAAGCTGTCCATGGTTTTGGCGACTAATTTTTAATTTTACCCCGAAATTTGTCGTGAAGTTGTCAAAAGTTGCCAAAGTGTGGTTACATTTTGGTCCGATCAATGTATAAGTGTAACTGATCCTATACATATCTAACTGTAACGGTATCCGGCCTTATGTAACTGTAACTGTGTAAGCCTTCCAGCAATTTTGAGAAACCGAAGATACTGGAAACTTCTCGTCGGCCGGGGAAAAGTTACATGCACTGATGTTTGTGAAAAATCCAACAACACCGTGAAGGAATTGTGGGAAATTAATGGGATTTATTACACTTAGTAGTAACATATAAATAAACATTCAAATTTACAAAACAAAAACAAACAAACAACCCTCCCCCCCACAAAAAAAAAAAAAAAAAAAAAAAAAAAAAAAACGAAACGCACGCCGGAAATCAATACTTTGTGTGTTCGCCATGCTGAGTGTGTGTTGAGACCCTGTATTCGTTGTGGTATTGAATCATACAGGTTCTGAATGTAATCCGGGGAATGACATTCCATATGGCTTCGACTTGACTTCAAAGTTCAGTCTTAGTGTGTACACCACCAGCTGTACGAACGAGCCGCTGACCGATGAAATCCCAGATATGCTCAATGGGCAACATATCCGGGGAATAAGCATACCATGGAAGAAACGAAACCTTTTGTGCCCTAAAGAAGGCTTCCGCAGTCTAATAAACATGTGTATGGACAACACAGAAACAGCGTCCTGCTGAAATACAGTGTCCGGAGTGCGTCGAATAATAGGGAGGACTTCTGGCTCCAAAACTTCACTTATGTAGCGATCATTGTTGAGGTTGTCCAGAATCTGCCCTAGATGGCATCGACAATCATATCCGATAGCTCGCCACACCATGATGCCAAGCGTTTGTGCGGTGTGACGCTGCATAACACACTCCAAGAGCAGATGTTCCCCTCTGCAATGTCTGACACGTACTCTTCCATCATTGTACTCCAGATTGTAGCGAGATTCATTGCAGAAAACAAGTTATTACCACACGGTACGCCATTTACTGTGTTGCCTTGCCCATTCAAGTCGGAGGCATCTGTGATTCAGAGACAGAGGAATCCTGCATAGAGGAAACCTTGCACGCAGTTCATACTGCAGCAGACGGCAACGAACGTGAAGCTGGATAACACAACACTTCTAGGCTTGTTACAACATTCTTCTAACACACGAGAGGTCGCTGTACGATCCGTCACAGTTATACGGATGAAATGTCTGCCGTCCCGTGTCGTTGTGCTATTGCTTGCCTCATTGCCAGGATTTCGCCCTGTTTGGTTCTTCTCTGTCTATTTTTTCCACACACGCATCGCTGTTGTGGCATAACGCTGCGTGCGGGCTGCTATTGCTCGATACAAAAGTCCACCCTCTTGCATACCGAAGATGCGGCCTCGTTCGAACTCCGTTAGTTGTTGTTATCGCACCCACCGCTGTTGACGAGGCATATTGCCCACTAATTAAACGTTCACCGCAGACAGGACGATAAGCAGATTTTAACGCAACTTTACAGTCCTTTATATACATGAAACAAGCAGCCTGTTCTTATTCCACGCATATGCAATCGCTTTGTAATTCTAATCATTTGCCTGTCTTACCTCACTTTACATTTTCTGAAAGTTTGGTTCAATTTGCATAATTCCTTCATGGTGTTGCAATTTTCACAGTCATTAGTATAAGACCGGAGTGAGCATCAGTTTACTTCAGTTTGAGTTCAGAGTTTAGCTCAAAGTATTAAGAGTACTGCGAGTTTACGCATTGATGTTTTTTATGTTGTCTCCTTTCTAATGTCCTTTTTAGTTTGAAGTGGCAATTATTGATTGTGCTCTATTGTGCTAAGAAAAGCTATACGAATACTTTTGTGAAAGGTTCCACAAATATAAAAGTCTTTCTTTTGGAAAAATAAATTTTATCAAGCTATTCAATTCCTTATGAATCCGTACGCACGTAACAGATTTGTTGCGTGAGGATTCATTTCCATACCACTTCACTCTATAAGTTTAAACTTAGGATTACTGCATCAGTGTGTTTTACTTCGCATTATTTCGCATATTCTAAAAATGCATTTATGAAGATGAAACATAAACATAGCACCAACAGTTACATTTTCTTGTAAATTCTATCATGAGAAAATTGAAATTTCTTATGATCTACTCACAGAATCTCTAAGTTAAGTGAACAGGTTAGTGCCAGCTAGCCCTTTCTCGCCTAGAGCAGATGAAACCCAAAAATCTCCTTCCATTCCTACGATAACCCGACCACACTCGAACAGCGCACGGTTTCAAAAGAGGCAAAATGGTGTTCCTTTCAATGCTTTCGAATTTTAGGTAAATATACTTATAAGTGTTAATGTATGTTATAAAATGTTAAAAGACTAGCCTTGTCCCTCTAATCCATCGTCAACATACCAGTACCTGAAAGCTAATGATGGCTATAGGGAAACTGGAGAAGGATATGAAAGTCGCATATTCCAAACGTGTGTCGAGATTTCAAAATAGTATGGAACGGTAGACTTCAAATTTTAACTACTAAGGAAAGCAATAAAAATATAATTTTTGTAACTCTTACCAATTGCAGAAAAGTAAATGTTACAAAAGAATTGAAAATACATCGACGTTGCCCGCACTGTAAAAAATGAAAGGAGATCATTATTTTTTTTTTTTTAGAATTTTAGTCAAAACATCTGCTCAATATTATTTTAGGTCGGAATAATAGTAGAAATGAGAAATATCATTTTAATAAGTATTTTAGAAATTATTTCAGTTTAGTTTTGTGAACCAAATGTATTAAAAATAATTTCAGATTTTGGTTTTGATTCGTGGAGCCTTTAAAGGAACAGCATGAAACACTGAAGCTCCTCAAAGACGTGTTTCAAGAGGCAATCTAAAGAAACACAGGCTTAAAATAAGCAGTGATTGTACAAATCGAGCAGAGATGGTATAAAGAAGTAACATTTATATGGATCTCTTCACTTCAGGGTCAAATGAAAAGTGCCGTAGATTTATATGTTTGTATGTTGGTATTTTACTTTAGAACAGTAAAACATGTTCGAGTAATTAGAGTGAAAAGTTTCTTTTCTAAAATTTGTAAACGACGTTTATTAAAAGTGAGCATAAGATCAATTTTTGAATAAACTAAATTGTAACTTTTCAGTTTAAATTACAAGAATTATTATGGTTCAGAGTTAAAATAAATTGTAACAGATTATGTAGTAGTTGTACTAGAATATGGCATTTGCAGATGAACATGAAAATTATAATTTTTATTTTTATTCCTACTACGAACACTTGGAATTTTCAATATACTTCAATACAAATTTACAAATAGTAATGAAAAGAAAACTTACTCTTCATATCCCTCAAGTTCAGCAACGATATTAAGAAAGAAGCTGAAGTCAAGATTTACTTCTTTTCTGTGCCAGCGTTTTAATTTTTCACAGCTATCTGGAATCAGTTGGCCTTGGACAATATTTGTAAAACAAGCACTCGCAGATGCAATGTAATGAACAGCAGCTGAATTTCCAATTTCCAAAATTCTCCTACCATTAAAGTTTTCTGAAATTAAAGAAATAATGGCTTTATAATTACAGTTTAGATAAGAACAGCGATACGAGCGATATGTAAATTTGAGTAGTAAAATAAATATTCTAAAGTAAACCTTATAATCTGTTTTTATCTTATAAGGCAATAATTATCCATCACTCAGAGAGATAAAGTGTTCCCAGCAACTGATTTCTGATTTAAAAATAAGAATAGAAAATTTAATACAGAGTCAGATGATGACAACAAAAGAGTGAGACGAAATATTCATTGCCGATGAATATTAAATTGTTTCATGTATAGAACCATAAATAACTAAGGAAGAAAAGTAAATTGTAAAGCATAATATTGTCTTCTCTCTTTTTTCCCTTTCTTTGAGATAACATTTCTGATTACAAAAAGTTTATTGGTGACTAATAAGAAAAATAATTTGTCATCTATTTCAAGGAACTTGTCAATGGCTTTTAAAATTAGAAAAAAAGTGTTATCTATTTCTTATACAGTAAGGAAAAATATATATATATATATATATATATATATATAAAAAAAAAAAAAAAAAAAAAAAAAAAAAAAAAAAAAAAGACTGCTTTTTTTCTTCAGTCATCAATGGATTTAAAATTTATATAATTTTTATATAATTTTATTAGTCTACCAGTTTTAGAGTTCAATAAGCCTCCCAACAGGTATAGTGATTGCCATGGCCGAAGGGTCCGAGTGTGAATCCCGTAGAAGGCATGGATGCTTGTAAATGTATAGTGTTGATGCGGCATGGCGGCACTCTAAATATGCAGCGAGCCGAAAGTCCTCTCGTACGTTTGGTGGAAGAGAAGAGGGGTGGGAGACCCTCGGGCCCATCCCCGACGGTTGGCTCTTCATCAAAATTTGGGGGCGGAACTGAGCTAAATTGCACTGTCACCGATAAGGTGCTCAAGGCTGTTGCCAACTACATGCGTAACTTGCGCTCCTTGCTAGGAATTTCGAGGGCTTGAGCTGACTATAGGTCAGACAAATGTAGCATAAGTAGCAACAAAAACAAAAGAACTTAATAAGAAAAATTAAAAGAGTAATAATATTTTACATTTATTTTATTTGAGTTGCTTGTTTTTTTAACCCATATTGATAACTTAAATGGTATGAATATGTGTGTGAGTGTGCGTAGTACTCATTGTCTATAAATCTTAATACTTTTTAAATTTTTCGAAACTGAACAGTATTCATTAGAACCTACTTTAAGTAACTGAATATTGAATTACATATTTAGTGCAGTATGAAATGACATTGAATACTGAAAAGTGGAACCGGAAATTAATATTAGTTTATTTCATTAAGTTAAACTGACTACTGAAATTTAAGATTCACTTGGCCTTTTTAAATAGTTTTAATTAACAAAACACAATTAAGATAAAACATTACAATTAAGGGCGCTATAATTACACATTTAAGTTACAAAGTAAAATCTCGGGGTTAGTTCATGACTCCCGCATATCGGCTGAAGGCTATTATCTTTTTTGGCCGGTGTTTCTTCCGGCGGTGGCGCTCATTGAGCAGTGGGGTTACAAAAAGAGTTAATACCAACGAGATATATACTGGTAGAGAGCTTATTGCAACCACCAACCAGTTCCAACATTAGTGTCACGTGACTGCTGGTCAAATTCCGAAAGTCAGGAAATACTTTACATTCATTTCTATGGGACGAAAGACGCCTGCTCTCCTTGGTCACATAAAATTTAAGAAAAAATGGGTTATCCGCTGCAGCGCTTATGGATGTAAAGAAAGTTTTGTAAAAGGGGGATCTGTAACCTTTCATAGCTAAGTTAAAACTACATGATTTATTATTTTATTTCCAGTATTTTTGTCATTTTACTATCTCTGTTGAATTGGTTGGAAAGTTTCAGCCATATTGTATAAGAAAGTTGCAGCTGTATATGACATTTTCAGCATGTATTAATAGCATCAAAATGTAATAAATACTTTCTTTCTTTCCACCGACAGCGAGGCAGCCGGTCCACTGGGTAGTTAGCATATCGGCCAGGTAGCCCCACTGACGGAAATAACTTGAACAAAAGACATACTTATAAATATATATTGTGCTCAAGACGACTCCTGGGGGCAGTGCAAACAAATGCTGGACGAAGACGATAGTGCATGATGGAAGAAGGGTGCATTGCGGGCGTGAAGAACAATTCCAGTTACATATTTACAGAGTAATTTATAGGTGGTTACAAATACTAAAAGTAATAAGAAGTAAAATACTAGAAAGTAAAACAATACATAAAATAAAAAAAAAGGCAAAACAGTGGAAACAATACATAAAATAAGGCAAAATACATAATTCAAGGTTTACAGTTCAAGGAGATAAATATATACAGGGAATAAGAAAAGCCGAATAGCTAACTTAAGATAAATTAGTTCACTACAGGTACAGTGCATACAGGGGCTGTGCTGGTGACGAGGATGGTGGCTGAGAATTACTCCAGCCTGTCTGAGATTTGCGTGCAATGTTTATGCAATCGCATATGCGTTTCAATGCATTGCGATTTTTTGAAGTAGATTCGGCCCATGCATGGATGTGGTTTGCTACTGGTTGCCTAAGATGATATTTGGCGGTCTCTCTGCAAGCGAACAGATAGTGGTCTGGATCTCCTACCATCCCGCATGAGCAATGCTCGTTTTCGCGTCGTATGAAGCGATGCAGGTAAGTCATGAAGGGACCATGTCCTGTTAGATAATGAGTGAAGTGAGACGAGCCAGATTTTAGAAGCCGGCAGACTTTTGGAAAAAATCTGTAAACTCTTCTGCCGGTGGTTTCTGTCTCCCACAGATGTTGCCAATGTTTGAGTAATTCTCTCTCGAGCTCAGCTTTTAAGAACGAACCCGGGAGAGGCACATCAAGTGTGCGAACGTGGGCTTCAGTTGCTGCTCTTTTGGCTATTGCATCTGCAATTTCATTACCCAGTATTCCAGTGTGGGCAGGTACCCACTGGAGTTCAGACCTATAGTATTTAGGTGTTCTTAGTAAGAGTTTTTGTATGGCCCTGACGAGTGGATTTTTACTACATGTGCCTTGGATTGCCTGGAGGCTAGAGGCTGAGTCTGAATATATAATGGAATAGTTATTTTCCAGTGCGTAGACAAGTGCAGCTTTTAATGCAATCAGTTCAGCCTGAAAAACTGAGTTCTGGTGCTTAAGCTTTCTTTCCCAGGTCTTTAAGATCTGGTTCCCAAGTAGAACACAGTATCTGCTACCGGTGCCACATTCTCCTTTGGAACCATCGGTGTAGATTGCAGTGGCGTTGAACCACGTTGGTGACCTGCAGTTAATCGAGATATTGAATTCGGCCGGGTGGCAAGGTGGCTCGGGAATGCTTTGCATAGTCAGTATAAACATAAGTCCTGTCCCATAAAGTTATTGTCTCTTTGAGTCGGAGCACTCGCACTATTGCACTCTCGCGCTGAGCTAAGAGATGCAGAGGCGGTAGTCCTGAAATCACGTTTAGAGCATTAGTGGGCGAGGTTTTATATCCTCGGGTAATGCTCAGGAGGAATGGTCTTTGTGCTGAGCGTAGCAGATTCTCCATTTTAGTAGTGATCGTTATGCCCCACATGGAGGCCCCATATAGTGCAATACGTTCAGCAACTACAGAGTACCACGTCTTAAGCATCCTCGAAGAAACTCCCCATGTTGGTGCTGCTGTTCTGAGCATGGAATGAAAATATCCTGTGAAGTCGTGCCTTGACCTCCTTTAAATGTGGCATCCAAGTCAATGTGTCGTCAATTATAACTCCAAGGTACCTCAAGTTTCTGACTATTTTAATATTTTTCCCCATGAAGGTTGATGCACGGGGTTCTTCGATGGCGCTTACCTGGGCACAATAAGCATACCTTGGGTTTTTTGAGTTGGCAATAATTAACTTATGGTCATTGGCCCATTTGGCCATCTTGTCCATTGCTTGTTTGCGCCCTAGTCTCATATGCGTTGCGGCTGTGCCCTTTGGTTACCAGCAAAAAGTCATCGGCATAAGCCAGTATTTTCCGTGTGAGGATCTGTGTTAAAGAGAGTCAGCGCTGTGTCCGCTACAAGATTCCAGAGCAGTGGACCCAGACAGGATCCTTGAGGACAGCCTCTATTGATGGAACGTGAGTGCACTCCTGCGTCCGTAGTGGCTTGTAAGCGGCGATCACTTAGGTAGCTGTAAATAAGGTCAAAGAGAATCTTAGGGCTACCCATGTCCTGTAATCTCTTCAGTACATCGGGCCACCACAACGAGTCGAAAGCGCCCTGTATGTCACAGAGATAATGAGACTATGTTGGTTATTTATTCTGTTATTTGCTATTAATTTTCGTAGGTGCTGCAGCGCGTGATCCACCGATCTGCCAGGAATGAAAGCCGTATTGTTTGTCATTTATGCTTTGTCCAGACAGGATAGTGTTTAAGTCTTTGAAGGACTACTCTTTCTAGTACTTTACCCAAGGCAGGAAGAAGGCAAATAGGCCGGTAAGACGTTGGTACATTAGGGTCTTTTTTCGCTTTGAGGAAGAGCACCACCTCACCAAGTTTCGTGCCGGCTGGGAAATATCTGTTGCGCCAACACGCAGTAATGTAGGCATGCAGTAACTCCGGATGCGTACTGTTAATGGCTTGCAGAATGCCATTATCTATCCCATCAGGACCTGGTGCTTTATTGGTGTTTAACGCTTTAACAATGTCGCTCATTTCTTTGGCGTTTGGCAGTGGTTCAAAATCTGTTTTCTTGGTATTGTAATATTGCTCAACACTGGCTCTGATATTTCTTTGTGCGGGATTATCTGTGTCTGCGTTATCAGGTCTAAAGATATTGTCCAGAATGTGCGCAACTACTTCTGTGCTAGTTGCTGCTCCGTGGCTTATTGTGGCAGTAAGATTAGTAGGTGTAAACATCTTGTCATGTGCAATACGGAAGACAGTTCCGAACTTATTCGCAGTGTTGGTACAGTACTCTTTCCAGGATGAAAACTTCGCTTTTGCAATCTGTCTTTTGTAAGCAGCTCTGTGCTTTCGAAAAATTAGCGAGTGTGTCTCTCTTTCTAAGGGATCCTTGCATGCTTGCATTTTGCGCCTTAGGGCACGGACTTTGCTGCGTTCAGCAGTCAGCGT